AGGCCCATTGTCTGCCAACCCTGTATATGATCTTGGATACACTCTGCATTTAGACTGAATTCTGTTGGGTTTTAAAGGAGCTCTGGTAGCATAGTGCCCAAGGCATTTGATTGCTAACCAGAAGGCTGGCGGTTCAAACCCACCAGCCATTCCTTGGAAGGAAGATTGGGCAATCTACTTCTATAGTGATACTGCCTCAGAAACCCAAGGAGGGGTTGCTATGAGTTGGGTACAACATGACGGGAGTGTGTTCTTTCATTCGTTGTGTGTGTGTGTATATGTGTGTGTGTGTGTGTGTGTGTATAAATTACAGTAAATATTGTATTAGTCTGTTATTGTAAAAAACAATATATACCACTTTTATATATAAACACAACTTTTTCTCTCCTTCATCCAAGATAGTATGTAGATACTCTCTAGGTAGGGTTTACCCTCCCATCCCCATGCATCCCTCATAACCATCAAAGAATATTTGTTTTTATGTCAAACCCTTTCCTTGACTTTTTACAATAGTGGTATCATACAATATTTGTCCTTTTGTGATTGACAAACTTCACTCAGCGTAAGTTCATCCCTGTTATGAGATGATTTATAGATTCATCATTGCTCTTTAACATTGTGTAGCATTCCATTGTGTGTATGTACCAAAGTTTTTTGATCCATTTCTTCATTGATGGGGAGCTCTGGTAGCGTAGTGCCTAAGGCACTTGACTGCTAACCAGAAGACTAGTGGTTCAAACCCACCAGCCACTCCTCCAAAGGAAGATTGGTCAATCTACTTTCATAGAGATACCGCCTCAGAAACCCAAAGAGGGGTCACTGTGAGTCAGGTCTGACTCAATGGCACATAACAACAACAACAACAGCAATTCCGTTGATGGGGTATATACCATATTTTATTTATTCATTCATCTGTTGATGGACACTTGGGTTGTTTCCACCTATTGGTTATTGTGAGTAGTGCTGCAATGAACACTGGTGTACGTGCATCTCTTTGACCTCTGCTTTAAGTCTTTTGTGTACATATGTAAGAGTGAAATTGCTGGGTCCAGAGTAATCTTTAAAAACAAATCAGACCCTGTAATTCCTCTGCGTACCACCCTGCACTGACTTTCCAAAAAATTCTCAGTCCTTAGGTGGTTTCCATATTCTGTATGATTGATCCCTACTTATCTCTTCAATTAGCTCACACCCCTCCTACCCACTGCTCTCTACACTGCAGCCACTCTGCCTCCTTTTGTTTCCTTGAAAGTCATTGTACCTTCCTGCCTCAGGGTCTTTGTACCTCTTTGGCATCTCTCCTCCTCCCAGGTAATTGCTATTATCCTTCTGATCTCAGTTCAAGAGTGATCTAGATCAAACCCTATACCCTGTACACCCTTTCCTTTTTAGCCTTTGTCATGCTTTCTAGCTGTAACTACTTAATCAATGTCTCTCTCCCCAGTAGACCATAATCTCCTCAACATAGCCCATCTCTGTTTTGCTCAGCAGCACAGTATCTAGCATGTAGAAGTCCTGGATAAATACTGTTGCTTCAGTGAATGAATGAAAGGTATAAAATTTAAGCCCATATGCTTCTAAACTATGGGCAAAAAAATGTTCTTCCTACATTGTTATCTTAGGAACTTATTCTTCAAGGGGGATGAATAAACTGAGTTCACCTTGTAACATTTAAGAAAAGATGTTTGTATCCCCACATATATATAACAAAGGTATATGAACCATTATACTGTATTATCAGTTCAATATTAAAAAAAAAACTTTTACACACTACGAAAATTAACAGGACTGTTGAGGTTACATGAGGGAAAAAAAAGTAACAGTCATGCTGGGAACAGTGTAGCTATCACTCTCTATCTCTACGGCTAATAAGCCATCTAATATGGAATGGGGAGCTCTGGTAGCATAGTGCCTAAGGCACTTGACTGCTAACCAGAAGTCTTGTGGTTCAAACCCACCAGCCACTCCTCGGAAGGAAGGTTGGGCAATCTACTTCCGTAGTGATGTTGCCTCGGAAACCCAAGGAGGGGTTGCTGTGAGTCGGGTCCGACTCGATGGCACATAGCAACAACAATAACAACAACAACAAATATCGCATGAACCAAAATTGTCTATCAAAAGTGAATAAAATCTGGTTTGTATCTATACAAATATTAAAAACAAAAACAAAGAAAGAGACTTTAAAAGTGTAGGTTGAGTTGTTGGTATGATTCCTCGCTTCTCTGACATGAGCTAAGCTATCCATGGCTATAGAGTTCACCAGTCCTATTCTTGCCATAATGTGTTTGCCTGGTGTAAGGGTGCTGCTGTCTGGGAGCCCTGGCCCTGGGAACAGCTGAGCATTGCTCCTTTGGTGACATCTTCTCTCTTGCAGCTACTGCCAGTCTTCCTTTCCTCCAGGGTACTTAGTGTTTAGATTGGCCAGAGTGCCTGCCTACTGCCCGCTGGCACACCAGGAGTACTGGGGGCAGTAACCAAGACTGAGCAGGGAACCACTTCTAGGAATCCCCTTGTTTTAAAAGCTACACTGGTCAGGTTCTTTTTCCAAGCCCACCAAAAAGAGTAAGGGCAGTTTGTGGTCTTCCTTTCTCCCTTTTTCCTGCTCTTCTTCTCTGCCTATGGGATTTTCCAGTGCTCACTTCTTTTCCTCTCTTACAATGCCTCTGCTTTCTAAGTTTTCTTCTATATTCCCATTGTGTGAATCTCCCCTTACATCCCTGTTTCACTTCTTCCCTCTCTCCCCTTCCTCTCCCTGTTCAATTCATTCCTTTTGGTAGGCATCAACCCTGGCTGACTCTCCGGAAGCACCACTGGCCACCTTCCAGAAAAGTCACAAATGAGAGTGTGCTTTCTTGATCCCTGTTCCATCCTCAGTTTGTTCAGCACCTGCTCTGAGGCCTGTGGATGACAGAGTGGGGCTGCTGCAGAAGGCAGCTGCCTACTCTCTCTGAGAAAATAAACTAAATAATGTGTCAGCACAGCCTCATGACATTGCTGCTGCTCCAGGAGCTTTTGTAATCCTGAATATGGGTTTCTTTATAACCAGTAATAGAAACAGCTCTAATTAAAGAAAGCAATGGTTCACATCCCCTCCCCCATCAAAGAAAAAGTAAATGAAACATAAACTCTAAAGTCATTAGTTCAGAGAATCACCTTTAACTCCTCAATATAAAAACACAAGGGCCTCCCTTTTTTGGCTCCTGATACTTAAGGAACCTAACCCCTGACATGCTTCCCTCTGTTTTCTCTGAAGAGACATCTTTGGAGATGATGCTTGAACTCTAAGAACTACATCTAGAACTGTCTCTAGGAACTAAAATTGAACCAGTTAGCATTGTGTAGATTCTGACTCATAGAGACCCCAGGTATGCCAGCGCAGAACTGTGCTCCATAGGTTTTCCATGGCCGTGATCTTATGGAGGTAGTTTTCCAGGCCTTTCTTCCTAGGAGCTTTTGGGTAGATTCAAACCGTCAGTCTTTTGGTTAACAGCCAAATGCTTACCTGTTTGCACCACCCAGGGACTCCCTCTAGAAACTACTGCCCCTTGTCTACTGTGGCTAATTTATTATTGTCTATTATGTCACCCCACAGTGTGACAGGCAGCCCCGGAAACCAACTTGCCTGTTTGGGGCAATCACTGATCATTCCTTTTGGCCGCTGGCTGTGGTGCTGGGTTCCCAGCCATGTAAGGTCAGGCAAGGTCCTCCTCTTACTCTTCATTAGGAGTATCTATGTCAGGTGGTCAGCACATGGAGTATACTTCAAGAACTTTGAAAGTAGAAAATAAACATACTCTGAAGCCAGAAAGACCCATATCCAAATACAGCTCTTCCATTTACCCCATGATGTAGGCATTCAATATGTAAAAAGGGAATACTTACACCTTTATCAGGGTTATTGTTAGGATGGCCTGAGACTCTGCATAAGCCAGGTAGCACAGGATAAGCATCAGGTAAATAAGAACTCTAATTGGTATGTAATATTGAAGTGCTGTGAAACAGGGATTTCTATATCATAGCAACTTCTTGCCTGAAGATACTCTTTTACTTCTGTTACTAATGATACTCACCACTCATGGATTTCTTTTTGTTTTTTTAAAAATTTATCCTCTCACAATTCCAGAGGATAGAAGTCCAAAACCAAGGTGTCAGCTAGGCCATGCTCGTTCTGAAGTCTCTAGTGGAGGATCCTTTCTTGTCTCTTACAGGTTTGGTATCCTCAGGTGTTCCTTGGCTTGTGGCAACATCACTTCAGTCTGCCTCTCTCTTCACATAGTCTTCTCCTGGGGGCGTTGTGCCTAAGGCATGTGGCTGCTATCCAGAAGGCTCATGGTTCAAACCCACCAGCCACTCCTTAGAAGGAAGATTGGGCAATCTATTTCTGTAATGATACTGCTTGGAAACTCAAGAAGGGGTTGCTGTGAGTCGGATCTGACTCGGCAGCAGTGAGTTTGGTTTTTTTTTTTTTTTTTTGGTTTCATAGACTTTTAAACCTGGAAGGAGGTATAGAGCCTCTCTTCACCCCTGATACTATAGATTAGGGCTTAAGACCCAGAGAAACAAAATGATTTGTGCAGCCTGCCCAGCTTGCTGGCAGCCTAAGAAAGGTACCCTCTTCATGGTCCATGCTGCTTCTGTTCACTGCACATTTTTTTTTGTAACTTTTGAGGAACTCTCCAGAAGATGCTAATACAAATTAAATACCATTCTCACTGCCATAAGGAGATCCCTAGACACTTGCTTGCCAGCTCCACTGAGGATGCAGACCTTGTTTAAGTCATGAGTCAGGAGAATTCAGTTACTTTTAGAGGAAAGCACTGCCCAAGACAGTATGTGACTTGAGGAGCAGCACACTGCCCAAGACAGTATGTGGCTTGAGGAGCAGCAAGAAGGCCACATCCAGGAACAGGAGGAAAAGTCTGCTACTCAGCCTGGCAGGAGGTGCAGGTCTTGCCACTTTGAATCTCTCATGGGTACCATAACAAAGTGTCACAAAGTGAGCGACTTAATGGTGTTGTGTTCCATTGAGTGGATTATCAACCCTACGTGATAGAGTAAAATTGCCCCATAGGAATTGACTTGATGGCAGTGGGTGTAATCTTTGAGAGCAGATTGCCAGGTCTTTTCTCACATAGAGTAGCTAGTGACTTCTAACACTGATCTTTTGGTTAGCAGCTGAGCACTTGACCACTGTGCTACCAGGGATCCTTGAGTGGCTTATAAGAACTTCAATTTATTCTCTCACAGTTCTGGAGGTTGTTGTTCTTGTTATGTGCCATTGAGTCGGACCTGACTGATAGCGACCCCTCCTTGGGTTTCCGAGGCAGTATCACCATGGAAGTAGGTTGCCCAACTTTCCTTATGAGGAGTGGCTGGTGGGTTTGAACTACCAGCCTTCTGGTTAGCTGTCATGTGCCTTAGGCACTACACTACCAGAGCTCCCACTCTGGAGGTTAGAAGTCCAAATTCAGGGCATCAGCAGGGCCCTTCTCTCTCCAAAGGCTCTAGTGGAAGATTCTTTTCTCTCCCAGCTTCTGGTTGTTGTGGTTATGTGCCATCAAGTAGTACCCAACTCATAGCGACCCATCCTTGGGTTTCTGAGGCAGTATCACTATGGAAGTAGATTGCCCAACCTTCCTTCTGAAGAGTGGCTGGTGGCTTTGAACGGCCAGCGTTCTGGTTAGCAGTCAAGTGCCTTAGGCACTACACTACCAGAGCTCCCAATTGATTTGATAGCAATGGGTTTTGGTTTTATGATCAAAAGTAACATTTTCAGACAATTGAATGAAGCTGAAAATCATTTCTGGAAATGTCATGAAATGTGGTGTATGTTTTGGCATACTACACCAGAACTTTACATAATTTTGTAATTTCCACCTATCATATGTGTGTGTGTGTTATTTATGTGAGTGTGCTATTTGTGAATATACGCTAGTTTAATCTCTTTAGTGACTGTAGGCTGTTATAACACAAACAGAGATGTTGTCTTCATGGAGCTTCTGCTAAGAAATGTGAAAGCCCAGACATATTCTTAGAAGGGAAACATCTCAGGAGAATAAATATCAATTATTATCTCAATAAATTGCCCTGCCATGCTTATCTGGATCCCCAAAAGCATTCCCTGAATCTAGTATCTGGTCCATGATATGCATCTAAAGGGGATTTGTGAAAAATATGAATGTTGAATCTTGCCTGTGACAAAAAAAAAAAACCATTTAGTGTTGTGCAAGTAGAGAATGCCACTCAAATGTTAGTCATAATAGATTTGGCCATGTATTAAGCAGTTTTCTGCCAGGTGACAATAAAATATCTTGGAAAAAAAGAGCCTTTTTCTAATTTGTACAAAGGTTCTTTGTAGTCTAACGGTGACCCTGGCCAAGGCCTATACCTTTTTTTAAAATATTTTTCCTCATTAAATATCTTAAATATAACAAATAGTAAAGCATGAAAAGCAAAAAAAATTGAGAAAGAAAAATCAATTTTTGTTAAAAATAAGGTACTTTTGACTTCATTAATTCAGAAGCTTAATACTTTAAAATGATAGAAACTATTTACAGAAGAGTAGGAAATAAGGAAAGAGGCTCAAATCAGAATTAGATAATTCCTGCCCATGTTATGTGAAATCCTATATGCAAAGAGTCATTAATATCATGTCTCCGTAATTTATGGTTATTTGTAACTTTGTGTATTTGAAGATTTTTTTAAGAAAAAAAATAGTACCTTTTTCTTCATCTCTTTCTTGATACAATCTACACCTATTTCTCTTTATTTTTTTCTCTACTAATGATTGCAACTTTTCTCCAGCCTGATTAAAATGGCTTGTATCTCTATGAAAACGGTTACCAAAAGACACATTGGTGTTTTTAAATCAAAGCAATTACTCTCCATTTCTTTCTATTTTTTCTTTCTTTTTTTTTTTACAGATCATGTGGCAAAAGAGCCAGTGGAGGATACAGACCCTAGCACTTTATCCTTTAACATGGTAGGTTGTAAATTTTATATTAAAGGTGATGACTCTTTTTTTTTTTCTT